ATAATTAATAAAATAATTTACCATCTATTATATTATTATTTATTATTTTATATTTTTAAATAAAAATTCAGTTAACTTTGAATTATAATAAAAAAATTAATATCTTACTTTCTATAATATTATAAAAAATATTAATATTTTTTTTTTAAATAATAATAAATATAATTAATTAAATTAATAAAATAATTTACCTTCTAAATTATTAACATTTAATTTTTAATAAAAATTTTATTTATAAATGATAATAAATATTAAATAAAAAATTATAAATATATATTTTTTTACCAACTAAAATATTATTAATTTTCATTAAAAATTTTTTATATAAAAATAAATTAAAATGTAAAAAATAAATAGCTTACTCCCTATAGTATTATTGATTATTAAAAATTTTTTTAATTAAATTTAAATTTTATAAATTTAAAATATAATAAAAATTAAATAGTTTACAATCTAAGTATTATCATCATTAAATTTTTATTTTAAAAAAATGTTAATTATTATATAATTATGTAAGTAAATAATATAAAAATGGAGTTTATTACCATATAATTCTTCTAAAGTAGGAGTATCTGAAACTGGTTCTATTATAATGCATTTATTTTTAAGAAAATTTTGAAATTAATTAATATGATTTAGTAATTTTCAATTTAATATTTAGTTAATTATTTTATAGAAATTTTTGTATTTACTTTCATCTAATGAAAAAGCATCCGAAACTGATTCTAATGTAAATTCATGAAAAAAAAAGGATTTTAGAATATTATATAACCGTCAAATTAACTTATTTTATTATATCTTTTATTCCTTTTTTATTGCTGGTAAAATATTTTAGTTGCTTTATTTCATACGCTCTTACCTTTATAATTAATATTAGACATTGTTATAATTTATAATAAAAAAAATGAGTTTTTTAAAAAAAAAAAAATTTAATTCAAATAATCTTGTATAACGATAACAGAATGTAATAGTAATACATATTGTCAAGGTACCGTAGTACGTATGCAAAGGCACGTTTTTTGGCATAGCGATGATCATTTGTCGATTATTTTATATATATATATATATTTTTTTTTAATCTAAATGTTTTTAAATTTTATTTTTAAAATAAAAGATCTTTAAATTATTGAAATTTTGTGCAAATAATTAAGTGTTTGAAGTCCCAGACTAATTGCTTCATACTGCGTCATCAATTTGTGCAGGATTATATTCAGCCCATAATTAGTTGAAGATTATTCGTCTCTCGACATTCAGATTTGGACACCATTGGAGACATCATCCGAATTATCATTCGGTCGTCATTTTTAATTTTTTTATCTTGCTGATATCTAGAGTACTTTGAAGGGGGCTTGTATATCGAATGACGAGCGGTGAATAAATAATTCGAAATTATCATTTTAACACATTGATATGCGCTTTCCGTTCGGTTGATTTAGTCTAGTTACAACTATTAAAGTTTGGAATCTTCACTATCACGTGTTGCACAATATGTTATAAATAAACCTTTGCTACTTTGCCTTACCAATATCTGTTTAACTTTGAACGATCATTATGATTTTTTTTTTAAAATTAATACATAAACAAAATCAAAGCAGCATAGTAATAATATTTATTTTCGGAAAAATTATCTTTTGAAAGTGATTTAAAGGGCGCAAAATCCGGAAAAATAAATATTCATTAGCTGCGCCACGAAGTTATCTGTATAATATGATTGTTATTAGCTTCACATTGTGACAAGAAAAACTCGAGTGGATTATTATAATGATATTTCAGTAATATCAAGGAAATAAAGCTATTGCGAAAGAAGTTAAGGCCTATCTATTATAAATCAGAATATTTATTTAACCATGAAATTTTTTTAAATAAAAAAACGACAATTGCTGCGACCCGCAACGTTTCAACCCAAAGAAATCGTACAAAAAAAAAGAACCCCAGTTAACAAAATAATAATAATAATAAAATTAAAGCTTCACAGCAGATATGTTGACTGATAGTCGGCACTGGAACCGAATAAATTCAGCATAATTTGAATTTACCTGAGTTACAAACAATTTTACTAATTTTAAAATCGAACCGGAACCGGCCCAAAAGAGTCTGCTCAAAATCGTATCGTTATCAAATAAAGGCTGAGCTGATAACCGTCATAAATTTTTTAACATCACATAATTTAACTTGACGCTTTTGGTCCTAATTTATTTTAGGAGAGCCGAAGTAGAACCGAAAAGGTACAGAAATGGAACTGTCCCCATCCCTAGCAGCAGATAGAACCGACACTTCATTGCGAAAAGAACTTTAAAACAAAAAAAAAAAAATTAGAAAATTTAATAATCAAAAAATATAATGTAAAAAAGGAAACAGAGAAAAAGATATCTACCTATCACATACTGAAAAATATTATCTATCGCTGCAATCCGAACTTATCAAGGACGAAAAACACCAACCAACCGAAAACAAAAAAAAATCCAAATTACAAATGAAATAAAATAAAATAAAAAAAAAATAAATAAAACAATTTATCCCTTTATCAAAGCTAAAAGTAATAAATAAAATTAATTTTTTATTCTGTATCTATTCAAATTTAGGTTAAGAAAAATTTCGGACATAAAAAGATAAAAATATATGAGTCGAACAAAATGATCAAGTTAAAATTTTTTTCATCGCATTGCGTTTCGATATACCGGAAATTACACCTTCCTTGCTAAATGAACTCCTAAACGTATATTAATTTTTTAATCATTAAAACTAAGATTTGATTTGCACTATTTATTTATAATTTGCCATATACCAAAGATTAGGTAAAAAAAAATTATCTTCATTTCTTTTTAATTGGTGAAATAAATGTCGTAGCGGCTGGAATTCTTAACTCAACGTCTCACCATGTTTCTAAATACAATTCTCAATTTATCATAACATAATTCGTGATACGTGCGTCAACTGCAAAAAAAAATGTCGATCATTATTATAGATCAGCGGTGATAGACTTTACTTGAGAATCTCACACTCCTTAAATAATTTCACTTCAAATAATAAATCAAATACGCGTAAAATCATGAGTAAGTTAGTTTAATTTTTCTTGGTTTTATATATGAAAATTTGCATTATCGACCATTTTCTTGAGATTGGTGGGAAACGCGACGCACAAATAATACAAGTGAAATGTCTATCTTATATCCCATTCGTGTAAATATGAAAACTTTAGTTATTCTCCAAAATACACAATTTATTTTTACCAATTATACAATCAGGTCCTAGGTTCAAGTCTTCTTTTATGTAATCAATTGGGAAAGAAAAAATATCACTTTATTCATACAAGAGATAAATAAACAAATTCGACAATAAAAATGTATTTCAAGATTTTGAATTGCGATTTAGTTATATTGGTACAAATCCTAATGATGTATGTAAAAAAGTTGATATAATGCAAAAGCATAAAGGAATTGATTTATTTAGAATCAGCCAATCTCAAATTCAAACATATATTCAAACAGAACTTATACCCAGATGCAAGCCTAAAGAATGGCATATAATGAAAAATGTTGTGGAATTATCACTTATGAAAACTTACATTGGCTTCTATTCAATGGAATAAATTCTTTATTGAATGGTATGATGAAGTGAAAATTATATTGAAATTACCATCTCTTTAAAAAATTTTGATCCACTAGAACATATATTTAACGAAAGAGAAATAAGAGAATGGCGAACAATGTTTATTCATGCTGGATGTATAAATATTATATTTCTCCCTATACCAAAGATATATTATCAGTAAATATTGTTCTTATAAAGTAATTTTTCTCTGTCATAAATTTTGTAGTATGAATTTTAGACAATCTTATTTTTATATACAGTAGGATATTGCATTCATTTCCCGTATTCTAAACTTATTCCAATAATTGTAATGTGAATACTATTTTAGAATATTTTCATCAGGTATTAGATGCGAATAAATAGGTTTTATTATAGCAGAAAGGTTTTTTTATAATACTTTGATGAAAAAGTTGAAGGTAAGTTTTTTAAAAAAAAATTTGATAATATATTGATATCTTTGTAATTTATGTATGTTGTAGGTTCAATTTTTAAAGTAAAAATATGCAATCCTGGCTGTTTAATAATTGAAAAGCCTATTAAAAAAGTCAAAAGAATCACTTTTGAACAAAAACAACAATTTAATTTTTTTTTCAAGATAAAGCTCATGTTATTATGAGTTCTTATAAACTGATGCGAAAACAAGACAACCAGTAGTTTATTTAAAAAAATACAATCAATGTGTCTTTTTTAAATGAATTTAAACGTACGACATTTTACACTCAACTAATGGGCCACCAATATATTTATCAAGAAGTTCTTGGAGGATTATGCTCTACATGTATGAATATTTAAAGATATTATAAAATTTAATAAATGAAAAATAAATGATACTGAATTACAGGTAAATGTAATTGATTTATTCTAAAAAATTTCAATATGTGCTAATATTAATGATAAATTTGTAGGATATTTTTCTCAAAGTTATTTTCAGTAATGATGTTAAAAGCTGTATATTGTTTTGCTGAGAATTTTGAGCAGTTTTCTAATTTATTTACCTTCATGTTCAGAATATTTCTCATTTGTAGTCATTACTAAAATTTAAAAATAAAAAAATTATCGTTAGTTAAATTCGAAAACAAAATAAGTCTATTCTTGTTATATAAAATATTTATAGTTGAAGAATAAGCTGACCAAAAATATTATTCTTCTATGAGAGAGAGCTTAACGCATATGGTTCATAAAAAAATGACCTTCAATTATTTCGAAAATAATGAAGCAATGATGATATTGCAGTGATTAATCAAGAACACCCCTATAAAAAAAATTGTCCAGAAAATGTTATCGATAATGTCAGGGTGTATGTGGAAAATGTCCGGAAAATGTCAAAATCGTCCGGAAAGTGTACCAAAACATGGTGGATTCCGGACATCGCGTGATGTCTTAATATTGTACGGAATTTATACCGAAACATGGTGGATTCCGGACATTATCTGGATACTACAGCAAATTCTGGACAAATTCCAGAATTTTTTTTTCATAGGGCACAAGATATGATTAAGTATGAAATTAAAGTTAGAAGTTAAAAGATATATTTGTTGAGTCTAATATCTATTTGCCTTATATCTAGATATTGTTCGCTTGTTTTATACTCAAATTGGTTAAATAATCCTCGTTGGTTAAACGCTTAATTATAAAAAAAAATTTTAATTTTTTGTGTCCATATCACGTGTCAACCTCATTACAATTCTCATATAGATTCTTTATCCTGGACCTCCCCTTTCTTAAATATGATTGGTCAACAATGTGGCACAGTTGTAGTCTGAGGTAAATATATTTAGTGATACCATGGTGTTATTGATAGTAACTTCACGGGTAAACGGCGATTACCCGTGAAGTTACGTTATAATTATCCGGTTCAGATAATTAAACTTTTGCTGTTGCAAATTACTCCACAGCCAAAGTATAATTATCATATGTGGCCTGTAATTATTTTATAGATAAATATGTTTGGAGTAAATCAAAAAAATGATTGGTCAACTTTTTTTCCTTAATTTATTTTATTTAATTTATTGAACAAATATTTCTCTGGTTCGAAACCTTTAACCATCCAAGAAGTTTTGCGCAGTAATTCAAACAGCACCACGTGCTCTTATTCAGAGAATTCTACCAAAAAACTGCAATAATTTTTCGGATAAAAGAGGTATTCAGAAGTTCTGTATTGTTATTTATATTTTTTTTTACTCACCGATTATTGGTCGGATATATATAAATATTACAGAAAACTTGTTATTGAACTGTTAAAATATTTGTTAAACTATTTTATCCGATTAAACGAATTTAAAGGAAATTTTTAAATTCTTAGATAAGACGAAATTCGAAGGGTAAGAATAAAAAATTTAAAAGCATATTGAAAAGAAAGGTTCAATTACAATTTTTTTGTAAGCTAATGCAAAGCAATTTAATATAAAGAAGGAAAGGTTGTGAAACTTAGACAGCATAATTGTCATGAACTAGGCCAATGAGCTCAAAACCTTGTTCTGACAATTTAAAAGTAGAATATAAGGATCGCAGTTACTGTGATCGAAATAGAAGGTGTCAAACTAGAAAAGAAGTATTTACGCGCACAAGTCTCAAACGCTAAAACTTCAATGATACCAAATTCAAATGGATCCTTGAAACTCCCTATGATATTCGTGATGAAGCAATGAACGACTTGCTTAAAGTATATTCCTCTAACTTTGCTGCAAATCGTAAATGAAGTTCCGTTCCCCTCTTCCAATAAATCTTGAATAAGATAATCGCCTAGGTGAATGTTATCTTTGTATACCTAGACCACTTGAAATACGGGCTAAAACCAAGGTCCTTTAATTAAAAAGGTTATTATTTATATTATCTATACAATATTTCCTTGTCCTATATTAATAATAATAAAATCTAAGTTGTAATTTAAAATAAAACTTTAATTATTTAATTATTTAATAATTTAATAGGAAGGATCGGGAGTGATTGCTGTGGATCCAGGTGTACGTACATACATAACTGGTTATGATACAAGTGGAATAGCTGTTGAATAGGGGAAAGCTGATATTGGTCGAATTTATCGTCTTAGTCATGCATGTGACAAGCTTCAAAGTAAACGCGATTGTATTCTTGAAAAAAAAAAAATAAGCGAAAACGTTACAGGTAAAATTTATTAATTAATTAATTTATTTATATAATATTTATTTATAATTTAACATATTTACTACTTTAATTGTAGATTACATCGTGTTATGTTACGCATTCACAAAAGGATCCGTTGTCTTGTGGCTAAATGGCTTTGTGAAAATTATCGTGTAATATTACAACCTGAATTTCGCATTCAAGGAATGTTCCGACGTGGGCAACGACGTATTGTTTCCAAGACGGCACGTGAGCATCCCTGGTTTCAAGTAGTAATTTGTACAGAAAGAATACACAAACAAAACTTGTGAATTCTGTAAACAGCTTGGTGGATCCAAGGTGTTTTGCTATCCCCAATGTAAAACACACCTCGATAGAGATATTAATGGTGCTCGCAATATTCTTCTTTGATATATTACAAAAAAGTAGTCAACTTAGGCTGACACGGGAACCTATTTCCTTACAGGACTTGTTATTACCTAATTTAAACTATGCTTAATGATAGGTTTTAATGTAGGCGATTAATTAGGACAAAGACATCTTTTTTATAGAAAGTAAAATGTCACTTTGCAGGCGGTATACGTAACATGTCCCAATTTTATTTTATTATTTTATTTGATCATTATTTTTTATTTACAATTTTACAATTCAACAAAAAATAAAATCTTTTTTAAATATTATTTCGTTTTCTGAAAAGAATAAAGTTTTGAAAAAAAATGTTGAAAATTTTTTCCAAATGATTATTAACAGAAGTATTTGCGCGAAATTTTAGATAATGTTTGGTCACTATTGAATACTTGTAGATGATGAAATTTTGAATGCTATTAACTTGGGTTAAAAGTCGTATTGCACGAAATAAAGTCACTCATTTAATGGTAAATAGAATGAATGGTGTCTTGAAACTGGACACAAAATGATTGAGCAAAAGTCCTACGAAGTGATGAATCGACTTTTACTCAATTTCAACACCAGCAGATGATTGTTATCTCTCGTGATTCTCATCCAAGGTAATACCGCATGTTTTGGGCTGTTATTCCCGATAATAATGGGATGGGACCAATTATGCAGCTTTATGGATCAGAAACCGGATCTGTATATGTTGAAATACTGTACAACTATGATATAATCACAATGAAGCGCGTTTCCAAAAAAAGTAATGGTTTGTTTCAACAAGACAATGTCAGAGCTCATCACGTATTTGTATTTGGGCTACAACAAATAATTTTTACAAATCTTCACATGCAGAATTAGTTGGAATGTTTATTTAGACAGAAAAATATTAGAGATTAAAACAGATAATTATTAATGAATAAACTAACTTATCGTTTTGTTACGCAAACGGTTTTGATTTCGATATTCCAAAGGTGATAACTCTAAAATCGAGACCTCGGCAAATGGATTCGTTAAAAAAAAAAGAAAAAGAAAAAGAAAAAGATAATTAAGTATGTAAGAATAAAGAGTAATAAATATATATATATATATATATATATATATACCTAGAAATTCACGACTTTTCGCCCTGTCTAAAGAAATACTTGATGATTAGTAAAATTAAATATTTAGAATTAAAATTTTATGAAATTTTATATATATTAAAATATAACCGTAATAAAAATTAATTCGAGGAGAAGGTGTGGAAGTAATTTTAAATAATAAGGTAACGCATTGTTGGGGCATGATCTGTGTGACATCGAGACTTAATTGGTACACGATACGAAGTAATGAAGAGGTTAAAGTAGAAACTAACGTACGAGTGATACGAGTGTTGTTTCTTTTTAATGACTAATCAAAGAAAATATATTTATTTACTAGTGTCATATAAATTCATTGATGTATTTTATTAAATCTAATCAAATAATTGATAATTTCAGCTAAAATTATGTTTCCAAAAGTTCCAATTTCGTTAAATTTGTAATCTATATTCACCAATATTTTTTCTTGCAGAATTTTTAAAATAATGATGAAGAAATTTTATTTAAACAATTAATCTCGTAAACAATTTTAACATGATATTTCAAAATCAGAAATGTCTACAATTGATTCATAAAAATCCTTCATTTTTACAAAAGGTTGAATCTCACAAGCCATCTGTTCCAACTTTTGATGTATCAAAGGTTCAAATATATCATTGACATAATATGCAAGATTTTTTACCCCCTTCTTCTCCTTTACAAAGTTTTTCAAGTATTTAAAAGTGATGTCAATATCATTACGATTGAGATTTTTAATTAATAAAATGTCGATATGATGACAATGATCAAAAAAGATGTTCAAATGAATTGGATCAATTGCCAAACTTAAAATTAAATATTTTAAAGAATTTGGTAAAATTTGACCTAATCCCTCTAAAATATTTGATTTACGACGAGCATCATCATTTCCAATTGTAAGGTACTTAATATGTTTATTATGAGTAATCATATTATATAATTGAAGTATATTTCCATCATCAAAGTTACCTACGCATAAATATTTAATTTTATTACAATAATTCACAACGCTTTCAAATGCTTTATTTTTTTCCAAAACATTCGTAAGGTTTAATTCTAAATGTTCTAAATAAGGACCAATTTTCTGAAGTAATAAAGTAATTCCTTCGATCATACCAACTACCTTTAAAGTTTTAATTTCTAATGGTGGTGTAGAAATATCAAGTAACGGCTGAAAAAATTGAGTATTTATCCCTTTACAATAAATAAATTGAAGAGATCTTAATTGTGTGAGATATTTAAAATCATCAAATGATGAGACGTTTAAGAAATCACAAAAAGTAAATTTAATTGAAGTTAATGAATTGGGATATGATTTAAAGGCAGCATTTGATAAAGAAACATTTGAATATTGAGTTGAAAGAGTCAAAAGTTGAGGTAGTGATTGAATTAAATCTGATAGAATTTCCGATAACTCAAATTCATCCACATGAATATTAAGATGTTTAATTGAAGATGTCAATGTAAAAAAGGATTGAATTTCTCCAGTAGAAGAATATAATGTAACCTTTTTAATATTTGATATAAACGTTGGATTATTCAAATTCAATTCAGATATAGATAAAGATCTATGATGTATGGTATTTACAAATAATTCATTTAAGGAAGCATTATGAATAATGAATAACTTATATAATGAAATACAAACTAAATTTACAAATTCATAACCTTCTTTGGTATAACTAATTACCCTGTCAAAAATGTGCGATTTTACTTTATTTGTATTTAATACTTTAATAAATTTGGGATAATTAAAAAGTGGACTAAATGACAGATTTGTTGTAATTCTTAACTTTGCTTTATCTTCTTGATTAAAAAATAAAAAATACATGTCAAGTAAACTAATGGCATTTCTAGGTTGACATTTAACCGAAAAAGGATCCTCCCAAAGTATGGGAATTGCAACCCGACATAGATGTCGATTGACCAAAATGCACGAATGAAGTGATTTTATATCATTTCGTAAATATTGTATAATAAAATTTGTTATTTCTGGTAAATCACCAGTGAAAATTTTTGAACATGACATGATAGAAAAGAGGAAGAAAGAAGAAAGAGAGACGTTTAATTGATGATTATTACCACTTTATATATTTTTTGTTACACTAAAAATTTAGCCCATTCGAAAATAGTATGATCGGCAGTGATCAGCAATTAAATTCTAGAGATTTATATTGTTATCGGTCATGATATAATAGCATCCTATATAATTATGACTGATAATAAGGTTATATGACGTAAGTACCGATCCTTTTTTATATAAATATTATTGATTATTTTCTCTCGTTTTTTTTCGCAAACTTTTTAAAATTCTTCCACTTTTTTCAAAAAACTTTATAAAGAAATTATGAACTTTACAAAAGTCTCTCAACTTCCAACCAGGAGGAAACCAATGAATTACAACAGGTATCGCTAAAAAAAATACTGCAAAATGGCTTCGAGTTGTTAAAAGATTAATAAAAGTTGTGGTATATAATGATTCGCCTATATCTACTGTTCAAACTCAAACTCAAGCTTCTGCAACACAAAATATTCAAAATTCAAGTTAACCTATTAAACTACCTTGTCACTCTAATTCCCAATGATTACTTCTTATGGCAAAAATTGAAAGCATTTTTCTAGTACTAATAACCGAAATCCTTTGTCTTACATTAATAACAATATTATAATTAAACTTCCGCCTATTACCTTTTCACAAAGTTATAACCTAAATATTAATCTAAAACTAACATAATTGTAAATAATATAATTACTTTATTATAAAGTGATCAAAATTTGTGTATTCAATAATAAAGCAATCAACCTTTGTGTATTCTAATAATAAGTAATAAACTTTAAAAGTAATCAATAATATTCATGAAAAAGGATCGGTGCTCACATAAGACGTATACTATAAGTAATAATATTTTAAATGGAGAACTTGGTAAGTGTACTTCTTTGTTTATTCTTTAAAGAGGGTTTCTTTTTTTTAAAAAAATAATTTTGCACTTTTTTTTTTTTTGTCTTGGTACTTTTATAAACAAATAGTTTTCGATGCTTTAATTTTGATCACCATAAAAAAATAAGTAATAATTAATTTTCTTTATAATGTTCCAATTACTACATAAGAAATATTATAATAAATTTATACAAACTTTTTGTACTCTTTCGTACCTTTCGATATCTATGCAATATTTCAATGATGTTAAATTAATATTTTTTATCAATAACATTAGTCATTGTCGTGACATTGGAATTAAAAAAGAAAAAAGTAATTGTAACCAAGCATTACTCCATCATTCCAACTTTTATATAATGCTTTATTTATTTTATTTTTAACGATAACATTATTCAATCAATTTATATAAAAACTTGTTTACATAAAAAAAAATAATCGTTATATTGATTCACCATATGACGTCGTCAAATACTACGGAACAAACGTATTAACAATTCATATTGCAAACAATATGGGAATGTTGCCAGTAAAAATCAAGGTTTCATTAATAAGATTATGTGATGATATATCAAAAGAGGTATTCAATAACGGTATTACGCGAATTAAGAGAAATTTGAGTGGATTTCAAATATACCAAGTTAAAGGAATGTATCTACAAACAATATAATAAATTAATGTTAGTAATAGAAGTGAAGACGCATGCGTTTTAAATTGGAGGTTGGTAAGTCACTTCAAGAAAATATATGAAGACGATCTTGAGAGGAAATGTAGACAAACCCATACCTTCAAACTCTGGTGAGGAAACATCCGTTATTGATCCCATGATTAGACAACAAATATAACGCAAAATGTCCTATCGACGTACAACAAAAACTGGTTCATTAAGGAGCCCAAAGATGAACAACGTGCCCTTGAAAATTCTCTGATAATAACATCTGTCAAGAAAAAACTGGATGTTATAGTCTAGGGACAACACTGCCATCATCACCATTATCCAGTTATGATTATAATGATAGTTCGGATAATATTTCCTCAAGATGAGAAGACATTTAATCGAAAGCTCGAACAAAATTCTAAATGACTAATAAAAGTTGTTGAACAAATTACAATGAAGCCGTTGTGCATAATTAATATTTCTCAACAAAGTAAAATTATTGGATGTAAGACAACTGTCATGTGCGGTCTCGTAGTAACAAAATTAATAAAGTATGCGTATATGGTAGGTATTTGACGTTTGTATGCAGTCAAAATAATGCATAGAAATTATGATCACATGCGATAAGTTGTATTAATTCGAGACTCAAATGACCTGGGTTAATAAATAAAAAGTAAAAAATGATTTTTCAAATGAATTTAATTTTCGAACTGGAAATTACGTTAAAAGTGAGAGCAAATGAATATTAATTTCAAAATTTTCAAGCAATTATTTCTTTTATCCTCAGAAAAAAAAAGATTTTTATCAAAAATTAAAACTATCCATAAAATTCTTTTTTTCTGATTGAACATATTTAGAAATATTATTAGACACAAGTACGAAAATTTCATAACTAGCGAATTGATAATATTTTTAATAAATTTCAAAAATCCGTTGTAAAGATAAATTTTATTGATAAAGTACCTTAAATAAATAATAAAATTTTAATAAAAAAATTTTTTTTACAATGTTCAAATAGGAAAACAATTCAACTAAGTAGAATTGCTTTTAGAGTCGATTAATCATCATTAATCGTTTCATGAGGTTCAATTATATTGCATATACTACTATTTTAATAATTAATTTCCGTAAACGGAAATTAATTATTAAAATAGTAGTATAATAACTGGTCTCAGACTGGTCTTCAGGATACAGATCGAGGACCGGTCCAATTAACCGGTCCAAGACCGACTCTAGTAAAATTGTAAATGTAAAAATTTTTTCTAATAATTCGGAATTTATTTTACTGCTTTAGATTAGATAGATTATATGATTAAAAAATATATATATATATTATCATTATTAGATAATAATTTATTATGCGACCATAGTTATTATACAGAATGTATCTAAATTATAAATTTTCTAATAATAAATCTTATTTAAATATTATTTATAAACTTTAAAATTATAAATAAATATTTTTTAATATATATATTAATTAAGATTACTAAATGAAACTTAGAGGTTTTGCAAATTGTCTAAATGGCAAAAGATAAAATTTAGCAAATTATATTAATATTTTATTAAAAAATCTGTAAAACTCAAAAAAAAAAGATAAAAGCTTATAAATGTAAAATTATATCAAAACTTTAGTAAAAATTAATAAAATTAAAGTTTATAATATTTTATCAAATCTGAAATAAATTTAGACAAGCAACTTTAATTATAATACTTTTAAAATATAAATTTGTTTTGTTTTGTTTAAATATTTAATTAATTTAAATAATTTATAATATAATAAAAAGAAAAGTTTTGAAAAATATAAAATTTTAATTTAAAATAATTATAATAATAAATTATTTTAATAGTAAATAATAAAAATATATTAAGAAGATATAAATTATATTATAAATTTTATAAAATAATATAAATTTAATTTGATAAATAGTATTATTATTTTTAATTTTTTTTTAATTAATTTTATTTATTATATTATTTAAATAATTTATATTTATTATTTTTATTATATATTTATTTAAAATCAAATAAATATAATTTAAGAAGATTAATATTTAAATTATAAGATTAATTTTATTAATCATTATAATAAATTCAAATTTTTTTAATTTTTAAAAATGATAACCTATAATAAAATTATACAATTAATTTATTAAAACTATAGATGCCTATCAAAACTTCTCCAAAATAATTTTATAATATTCTTTTCTATATTTTTAATATAATTTTGATAGTTTTAGTTTTTATCATATTTAAAGAATTTTATTATATCTCTTATATAATTTTAATATAATTTTATCTAAGTTTTGATTGTTATTAAGAGGTTTTATTTCTTATATATAATTAAGATTATTTAAATTTTTTTAATATAATTAATTTTATTTTTATAATATTATTTGTAATATATACATTAATAAAATTATATATAATAAATTTATAAAATCATAAAATAAATGGTTAAAATTAAAAATTTTTTTACTAAGATATATTAAATATAAACTAATTTTATAAAAGGTTAAACTAGTAAATATATAACTATAATAAAATCTCAAAAAATAATTAATAATTTCAACTTTTACTTTTATTATAAATATTTTAATTATTAATTAATTTAAATATAAACTATAAAAAATTAATATTAAATAAATCATTTTCTTTTTTCATTAAAATTTACTTTTTATTTAATTAATAATTATAATAATAACAATTAAATATTATAAGAATATAAAAAAATTCTAAAAAAAAGATTTTTTTTTATATTAATTTTTTTAATATTTAAAATCATATTTAAACTCTTTTTTTAAAAAAAAAATTTATATAAAATAAAAATTTAATTATTTCTTTTTTTTTATTATAAAATATCTATTTATAAAACTTAAAAATAAAATAAATGATGATAGAATATAAAAATTAGATGATTTATAATATAATTATATTAATAATTATTCCTAAAGATGATTTCCATAATTATTTTCAAATTTCAATTGAGTTGTAACTTAATTACACCATAAGGAAATTTAATTACGCCATAAGTTGTAACTCAATTACATCATTTTTTTTAATTGCAGTGATCATCTTTAATTGCTCCTATATATAAACCTTTAAAAGTCTTTAGTTAATTACATTTTTTTAATTTATTTAAAAAAAAATTTAATTTTAAATAAATATTTTAAATTAATTATATTTTAAATTTAATAAAATTAAGGTTGCTAGATAAAATTTAAAGGTTTTGCAAATTATCTAAATAAAAAAAGATAAAAGATAAAACTATATTAAAGTTTATAAAATGCAAAAATATATTAAAACTTTAGTAAAAATTTAGCAAAATTATAGTTTAAACATTTTGTCAAATCTAAAATGAGTTTATACAATTAACCTTAAATAAAATATTTAAAATAATATAAAAGTATAAAAAATAATTATTTATTTAAAAAAAATGCTTTTAATTTAAATGAAATCCTTATAATAGAAAAGAATAAATTATTTAAAATGAGATAAAAAACTATATATGTCTATGAAAAGTATATTAATGTCTACTCGCTCAAAAATTAAGTTGATACTAATTGACTTTTACAATATTTTTTTAATTAAAAATATTCTAAACTTAATAATGATCTCATTCTTAGTTTATAAATTATATTTAATATATAAAAATAAATTGAATTTTAATAATTTAATTCTTTTTATTATAAAATATTTAGTATATTATTTACTTTAGATTTCTAATTTATTAATTATCATAAAAACAATAAAATTAAGATAAGTATATTAATTAAAAATTTAATAAAAAAACTAATACTTTATTTAAATTATTAAGTTTATTTTAGAAAAGATTAATAAATAATATTAATATAATACTTAATTAAATATTAAAATAATTATTATAATATTTTTTAATTTTATATACAGTCGTTCCTTTTTATAGATACATCCTTATGACTAAAAATAAAAAGTGTGATTATAATAAAAAGTTACTATACAGGAAGATTTTTATCTATTGTTACTAAGTATTAATTCTAAAAGTGTGTGACTATAAAAATACCGTGATTATAAAAGAGTTTTTTATATAATATTAATAGGTATTAGTTTTTATGAAATGTGTACTTATAATAAGAGATTTATATGATATGATTATACAGGAGATGATTATATAGGGGGATAACTGTATATAAAGAAATAAATATATATTTATTTTTATTTATATAATTAATAATTATTATATTCTTTTATTATTTAATGTAAATATAGTATTTATAATAAATATTTTTTACAATTTTAATAATTAAAATATATTTTTAAATTTATTAATTATTAATTATAAATTATTAAATTAGATTTATTTAGTAAATAATAACTAAATATATTATATATTTCTAAAATAAGTATATTATAATAATTTTTTATAGTAATTTTATTATCATATGAATTTTAGTTTAAAGATATTTTTAAATATAATAATAATATTAATATAATAAAGATGATATTTGTAATAATTAAAAAAAATAAAAGTAATATTTTAGTAATAATATTTTAATATAATAATAATATTATTATTATTAAAAATAATATTATAATAGTATTTTTTATTATAATAAAGTGTTTGAATATAGTATATATAATATTTCTAAATAATTATTTAACCCTAAAATTTTTTTAAATTAATTTTAATTTTAATCTTAAATTTTTAAATTAATTTGATACTAATCTTAATTTTAATCTGTATTTTAATTTTAATTTTTATTTCTAATTACTAATATTTAACCCTAATTTAATTTTAATTTTTAATTTCTAATTTCTAATTTTTAATTTTAATATAATTCTAATTCTAATTTTATTTTTATTTTTATTTTAATTCTAATTCTTTAATTCTATATATCAATAATTAAATATATATTTATAAATATTACTAATTTTATTAAGATATTTTTTACATAAAGTTTATTATTTATAAGATAACCAAATTAATATATATAATTTAATAATTAAAAAAAAATCTAATATATAATTTAAAAGTTTACTAAAAATTATATCAGATATATTTAAAGTTTTAAAAGTTTTTTTTAGATATTCTATTATGAAAAAATAATAATAAGTTATAAGTTATAATGTTATTAAAAAGAAGAATTTTTAAAATTTTTTTATAATTAATTTTACTAATTACTTTATTTTTAATATTAAATTAAAGTTATTTACTTAAAAATGAATAAATGATAGTAATATTAAGAAAAATTTATAAATATTTTTTTATTTATATAATCTAATATTATTTTATTTTATTAGATTATTAATAATTTATAATTATATAATATACTAAAATAATATAAATAAAAGTTTTTAAATATTAAATTTAGGCAATTTTTATTTATATACAGTGTTAATCTTATGATTAATCTATTAAACTTAGGTAATAATGACTTAATAATAGAGAGTAATATGTGAAAAACTACTAAGTTTTTATGAAATAAGTCCTATAATAATTAATCTTAGATTTATAATTTAGATAAGTAAATAACTTTAATAATTTGTAAAAACAATAAATACAATTGATATATTAAAGGATTTTAATACATGTGTAATTTAGAAAGAAATTATTTTATAATAAAGATTATATTCTTAGCAATCCTTAACCTTAAATTCTAAGTCTTTAACTTGAACTATTAAGTTATAACTATTATCTCTATTCTTTTATAAGAATAATTTTCTATTCTATTTATACAAAATTACAATTATAAGAAGATTACTATTTAATATTATTTTATATAAACTAATTTATAATATTAAAGTAAATATAAAATATAGAATAATAATATAAAGAATATAAATAAAATAAAAATATTAAATAAGTTAAAAATATTAAAGATATTAATAATGTTAATCTTTATTGACCTTTATAATACGTAAGATTAATTTTATATAATATCAACAGATATATATATACAGGTCATAAGATATAATTAATGTTAACATTACTTTAACCAATATAAAAAAATTAAGAAATTACTTGTATAATAACTATATAAGAGGATTTCTAGAAAAATCAGTTCTGAGAAATTTTTTGACTTAAATTAAGAATTTAATACATTTTAATCTAATAATATCAAAAACTAAAATACAATAAAAATCTCAATTTTGTTAAAAAATTTTCAGAATCTGATTTTTCTAACAATCAACTCATATAACAGATAAAGTGTAACAAATAAAAGTTTTTCATTAAAAAAATTCTAAATTTTTAAATTAAATAGTAAAAACTAAAGACAAAAGGATAGGATACTGATAATAAATATATAGGTATATACATTCTGCATAAACTTAAAAATTTTCTTTAGTTTATTATATTAAAAATTTATATTCATTATTATAATATTATATAATTAAATAATTTTTTATATTTGATAATAATTTATTTATTTATTATTTTACAAATAATTAAAATAATTTTTTATTTTTTAAATAAATTTTTTTAAATATTAAATATTATCATAAAAATAGTAATATTAATTTAATAATTATCTTTAGATTATTTAGCAGAAAAATATGCTTGCAAATTTAAAAAAAAGTATTAATTTCTTAAAATAATATTAAATATTAAATTTTAATAATATAATAATTATATAAAAATTATTAAATAATTAATTTTTAAAATAAGTTTAAAAAATTTATAATAATTATTTATTAATTTTAATTATTTAATATTTTTAATTAATTAACTTTAAATAATATATTAATTTTTAATTTAAAACTTTAAATAAAATAATATATATAAAAAAATTATATAAGTACTTTATAATAAAAAGAAAAATTTTTTTTTTATAAAATATTTATATTTATTAATATTTAAAAAATAAATAAAAATTAGATACTTTAATATTTATAAATAAATATATTTTATATAACTTATAATAAAGTTATTTATTTTAACTTTTTTTTTTTAATATATATAACTTAAAATATACTTTTTAAATTTTTTAAAATATCTTTTTTTTTAAATCATATATAATTATATAATTAAATCAAAATTATTATTTAAAATTATTTAAATAGTTTAAATAAGCATCTTTAATTTATAATAAAAATTTCTAAATATATAATTAAATTTATACTTTATATACTGATTTATAATTATATTTAAAAAATTTAAAATTTACATGGCTAATTAATTTATTCATTATTAATGCAAATAATTTTAAAAGCAATTACAAATAAAATTAAGACATTTCTATATTAAAAAATAATTTAAATCTGATAAAACCATAATTTATGAAATTTTTTTATCATAATTAATCAAGTACAAGTAGTATTATTAAAAAAGATAAATAAAGAAAAAGGTAAAAGTAAAATCAATAAAATTATATTTTAAATTTAAATTAAGTTTAAGATCTAATTTAATAATTGATTTTGTGAATTTAAACAAAAAAGAAAAGGTTATTCGAAGCCATATGAAATATTTAAATTTTTCAATGATGATAAGACTTTCTTTTATATATATCATAAAAATAATTTATTTTGTAAGGATAATTCTCATATCTAGCTAATCTTATAATATATTTTTTATAACAACGATTTGCTTCTCTCTTTTTTTTTGTTCCTTATCTAATTATATAAATTAAATCTTAATCCCATCCATATCATCAATAAAATTTAATCATTTGGTTTTTGTAATCTCTAACATAGAAATAAATATAATGTATATGAATTCACATAATTTTGTTTATACAAATTTTCAAACCATAAAATTCATGATATATTAGTTTAAAGTTTAGAAAACCAATTCGAAGGAACATCTAGTTCATAACTAAGCAGCATTTGAGCGTATGTTTTCCCTTGTCTATCAGTATTTAAAGTACTCAATCCTCCCCCTCCTATTTAGATATACTAAAATTAATAAGAATATTGTTAAAGTGAAAAATATTAAATAAATCTTACCTAAACTTTTAGTTAATACGAAATTTAATCCATTACAACCCGGTAATTCATACCTTTTAACTACGCCTTTACATAAATGTGCCATATAATACTTGACCTCCTAATAAAATATTATTCAAAAAAAGGTCATTTAAAAGCCTTAGTGATTTACTTAAATAATAATAAGGAACAACCTCTTCAGTTAATGTCTTTTTAAGAAATAGATAATATTTTTGCTCCCTAGCTATAATACCTATTGCACAAAAAAAATAATTATCATCATTCATCATCACAGTGATCAATTCAATATAAATATATTTACCAATATTACAGGTATCTCCTTTATCACCGCTTCTTCCCCATGCTAATCTGATTAATGGAACTTTGATGGTACCACCACTTGCACTAACATTACTTTCAATGCTTTCCATTTCAATATCAAAATTTTTAAATAATGAAGGCGGTATAATACTATCATTATCCGTAGGTCCTTCAAATTTAATGGTTTTTATCTCCGCATCATTGCCAGCTGTTAAATAAGCAATAACAACACCCTTTGAAACAAGACAAGAAAAGTGTACTAGGCATGGTGAAGGATGAGGTCTTCCTGATCCTCCTCCTAAAAAAAAATCTTGGATGTTTAGGCTTATATTAATTAAATATGTTCTTGCAAAGTCACTATACCTGTAATACCGGGAGCCATACAAGTGGCAGCCTAATAAAATAAAGGAATAGGGTTAATAAAATAAAAGCGTAGTTGATTATTAATCGATTTATCCATACCGGAGCAAGTTCCATTCCAAAAAGTCTTAAAGCTTGTGGATTATCATGATGAACTGTAAGATTTAAAACAACTTCTCTCGTATCATGAGCTCTTGCATGAGGTCTGAATAACAGTATAGCGTGTTAACGAGATGAAAATTTTACTTAATAAATGAAGAAACAAATACAACTTACCCATAAGTATGCTCAGCTCCTAACGGTTCAACATTTACATTACGAAAAGTTCCCAACCCAAGTTGGTTTAACATCATGTTAGTTTTCGTAATAATTGAAACTCCAACAACTGATGCCTACAAAGTAATTAAATTAAATTAAATTAAGTCAATTTTCTTATAACCGATCTGGTAATTTAAAAGATATTACACACTTTCTTCCAAGCATCAATTCCTCCGATAAGCAGAGAACCAGTCATTTTATAACCATCCAAATAAATTCCCGATACTTTTAGATATTCAGTAGGAGGTCTCCCTTTAGCCCCCGTGACTAAAACTTTATTTTTCTCAATTTGTTTCAATTTAACATTTCTTATATCTAGTACAACATCAGGCAAAATATACGATCCAGGATCCAAAATTTCATAAAGCATTTGTTCTCCTACGGTAGCAGTAGTGACCAAACCCCCGGTTTCTTTTGGTTTTGTAACATAAAATTCCCCATTCTCAAAACATTCAACAATAGGATAACCAATATTTGTCCACCCTCCATGTTCAGAAAATGCGCTTTTCTCCCAATCAGTAAAGTTACCACCCGTAGCTTGACAACCACATTCAATAATATGACCAGCTAATGATCCTGATGCAAGTTTATCCCAATCTTTATGTGGATCCCACTTAAATTCATGTATTAATGGTCCAAGAACTAAAGCACTATCCACACATCTACCCGTAATAACAATATTCGCACCGGAGTCAAGTGCCATTGCTATGGGTATAGCTCCAAGGTATGCATTAAATGAAATAACTTTTTTTTTTTCGCTTGGAAAATCGTCCGAATCTTGATCATTCCCAATTATATGTGTAAATTCATATACCTCTCCTTTTTGTTTAAATTCTTCATTATAATTTAATATATCATCTCCAGTTATTGCAGCTACAATTAATTTACCATCTTCTATTCCACTTTCTTTAATGGTATTTTCTATCGCTTGTTTACATGCTAAAGGATCTAATCCTCCTGCGTTTGTAATAACTTTAATGTTATTTTTAACTAAATCAGGTAAAAGATGTTTAAGAACAAGAGTAATAAATTCCGCAATATACCCTCCTTCTCCAGCCCCTCTTAATTTAGATTTTTCTGTGGATGATTTATGATTTCTACGACGTGCTAAAATTCCCATCGTTACCTCTACGATTACGATTTAAGAGACTAAAAGTGAGTGATTACAAAGATGTATTTCGAAAAGAGGAACAATAAATAACAATATTTTACCAGACAAATAATCCGCAATCAAGTAATCTAAATTTTTTCTCTCTTTTTTTACCAATTGTGATGCTGCGGAAGCAGAATCCCCCCAAAATGCACTGTATTTAATTATTTTATTGAATTATAATGAGGAAAATTTTATACATTACAGATATAAATTTGCGTATTAACTAACCTATAACAACCGATACGAACAGTCATTTTTTTTTTTTTAAAAAAAACAGAAAGGAATTAAATTAGATCAACCGATGATCTAATTTATCGCAGTCACATTATGACTTGTACCACAACGCCTACATTAAAACTAACAAAAACCTCACATTACGCAAAGTTTAAATTAGGCAATAACAGTCCTGTAAGGGAATAGGCTCCCACGCCAGCCTAAGGCTGACTCCTTTTCCTTTTTTGTAAGATATTGTAGGAGAATATTACGAGCACCATTTATATCTCTATCAAGATTTATTTTACATTGGGGACAGCAAAATTCTTTGGAT